TATCGCACCCAACGTCAGTGCCTATACGTAAGCGTACTACGACGCGGCTCTCAATTAAAGGAGTAACAAGTGTGATACTATCACTGCTAGGCTAGATCTTTGGTTCTCTCATGCAGTGGTTTATCAGAGAGGGGAAGCTTAGTAGTCCCCATTGCCTGCCCATGACGGCATTCTATCTTGCCAGCAACGCCGACCATAAACCCACCGTCTCCAACACTCCACTAGCATGAAATTAAGCCCGCCCACCAACAGCAATGTGCAAAAACTAGCCAAGGGGAGGGCATTCATTTACATTCATTTCGTGCATTCATTTACATTCATTTGCCTCTAACTTTTTTCATCAACAGAATTACGTAAAATAGTGTTTGAAGCTTTTGTAGGCTTTGATATTAGTTACATCTTTTGCAAACAACTAAAATCTGTATCTCTTATGCATGATGAATCAGAGCGATAAGAACCCACCATTGTTTTTCAACAATAACATGTTCTGCCAGCTCTATTCCGTCATTCATAAGAGATTCAGATTTTAGTTATTAACCAAAGTTGTAGTTAATATCAAAAGCTACAAATGTTTTATACATCATCTTACGGTATTCTATTGATGAAAAAAGTTAGAGGCAAATTAATGTAAATGAATGCACTAAATGAATGTAAATGATTTTCCATCCCTGGTCCCATCACATAAGAAGCAATGGTACGAAGCAAACTTAAAATACGATTTTCTCGGCTTGCCCATTTTCGCTGTGGGACGGACATGCGACGAGCGGCAATAAAGAGAAATGGAACATTGTGAAAAGAAACGCAGGATCAAAACAAAACAGAAAATAAGGCTACAAGAAACACTGTCCACTAAGCGCTGCGACATCATCGCATTATCTGTCATTATTTTGTGCCCTGTATAGAGTACAATAAAAGCTTAACATAACATTAGGTCCTAAGTAACATTGATAGATTCTCTTCGTCGACTTTCTCTTTTGTTAATAACTTGAGCACATAACCGTTTCTTGTTGCGTTTGTCGTATTAGATGCTAGATAAAAGCTTCGTTTATCGATCTGTGTGCTGATAATACCTGGGAATGTCTTTATATGGCCGTGGGATGCAAAGAGAAAGTCGACGAAGATATTCAGTCAATGTTACTTAGGACCTAATGCAATGTTCAGCTTGAATAGTTATAGTTCTACATCAATTGAAACTTTAAAAAATAATAAAATACAAACTTCGAAACCATAAAGTTGTAACGAAGAGATTTGTTAGATCGAAATCAACAGTTAACCCGAGCAAAGCTGGAGATCAAATTGAAATCAAAATTTGCTGTTATGATGTAACTTATTTTGAATACTCCAGTTGATCTAATTTTGGTTGACTTAACGGTTAACACAGCAGAAATGAGAGCAAAATTTTACACTGTTGAAGCAAACGGAAAACTAATCCTGCTTTCAATGAAATCAATTTGATTACTGATTTTGCATTCATAATGTTTAACTGAATACGGGCCTGGAGTAAATGGTTAGCATTCATGCTTCTCACGCTGAAAGCCTTGGGCTCAAATCTCACCCCGGGCAGGTCACAAATTACCTAAAATGTGTCAAACAAAACAAATAAACAATAATCATTAGTTCAACTTCAATTAAATTTTAAACAAGACGTTAACAGCAGAACTTCAAGTTAAGTTGCTTTCATTTAAAAAGTCTTGACTGGATAATGAAAGCACAATATGATATCAAACTTTAATATCGATTTGCATTCATTTTGTTAACCGACTTTGCTCGGGTAACCCAGATACGGTTCATGGTCTTGGGACGCTCTAGTTTAAAATTATTTTTCATAATAGTCGGAGTCGGACTCGGTACTTTTTTTCAGCTCCGACTCCGACTCCTTATGCTCAAAAATGCGTCCGACTCCACAGCCCTATAATTGTGTTATGCTCGTCTGATCGGGCGTGATGGGGTGAAAAGCGTGAATGCTTTCTCACCCCAGTGCGTCTGGATCCATCCAAGCATTACAACATCTGTATTCGTTATCAGTTGGTCGCGAGCTTATGGAATTTTTTAAAGTGAGTCGCAATCAAAAAAAGTTTGAGGACCACTTATGTAGGCCATTCAACCGTTATTTAAGCTTATTTTCAAGTTTCAAGTCTTTATTTTAATTGATTCAAGACGTTGGTATACTTTTGTCGATTTAAGGATCGCTTTCAAATTTTGGCGAATTTAAAGAATCTCTAGAATTTTATCGAAAAATTAAAACCGTTTCAACTATAGTCTTCAATACATTCCCAAACCTAATATTTATTCTAGACTAAGTGATTTTTTGTGTATTCCCAGATTAACAAAATTGAAAGCAGTTCCTCGTTGTCGTAAGCAAAAATCTGATTCAAACGTCTATTTCGGAGTGATCAAGCCATGCACAGTGTCCAGTGGCCACAAGGAGTTGCAGTGGACCGAAGACGACCTACAACCCTTCATCGTCGGTCATTGCAATATTTCATCACCCACTTCCCAGCAGCAGCAGTAGCAGCAGCTGCCGGCCACATGTGCATCCAATAACCATATCAATTGGAATAATCACCACCACTAGCGGGCAGCAAATCCCTTTACTGCATGCGTCATTAATTCCTTTCCCATGATGATCGCACTCATAAAGAGCCATCACCCAAGTCAGCCCAGCCTAGATAGAATGTGCATCAACGCGCAGCGCGTCCAATCGTTGATAGGGCCAGTTCGTTCCCACTTTGTACGTATTGGTATTGTTGTAATTGATAACACCTCGACGTGATAATTCAATATACAAAACATTATTGAATCTCACGTCGATTGGAACCGCGGGCAGTTTATTTTTGCTTCCCCTTCACTGACAGTGATAAAAATATAAACTGTACTATTGCAATGGTCAGCGTGCTTGATAGAGGAAGGATTTCCTATATCATTTTACTATCAATCATTTCGTTTTGCCTACTTCTTGTTTTCGACAGTTTGACTTCAACAATCGGCAGACGTCGAAAGCGCACAAAACTCGATCGCTTTGTCTTCTTATCAGGTTTCACCGCAGAATTTGGATGATTGACTGTATCGCCCTTCGGAGCGCAATATATGTAGCTCCCACTCTCTTTGATCTGCGGCTGGACCCTGCTGGAGGGTGAGTTCCGATGCGGCACCGCCGGCATCTACCAGTTTGCGCGTTCGCCATTAAATCCGAAATAAATCAGGCAACTATTGCTGATTGCATCTGAAATTGGACTGCCCCAAAAATGCAAAAAAGTGTGATGAAAGTGCACGTTTTCGTCAAATTGTTTTCGTGTTTTCGTAGCACTTATTGCTTGCATCACAAGGAATAAGTGCACTGAAGACATCAAGATGATTAGACGAAAACTCGCACTTTTGTCACACTTTTTAATAAGTGAAAACGCGCTTAGTAGTCCAGCTTGGTGTGAAATGCGAGATACTTATTAGAAACTTTATGTGCGACAGTGTATTATATTTGATCCGGTGCTGAGCCAAACTCTTCCAGTCGCCATGAAACAGGGTTGTTAATTGATAACCGTCGCTAACGTTGGGAGTTAAGCGACCTAATTTTCCTCTTCACTTGCATAAATCCACTGCGTACGAGGTCTGCTTCAGGCCCGACCAGTCGACCAACTCGTCCGAAATCTCTCTTCGAACATCCGTGTTACAAGACCGGCAGGATCCACGATTCGTGACGCAGATATATCAGTGTATTCAGATACTCATCTGGTTATACAATCCTTGATTAGCTTATTGATGAATGCCATATGTCCAATGTCCATTCATCTCCTAAGTAGCATCTTTACCACATGTCACGAGTATTCCATGTCCAAATACATAAATTATTCCTCAACTTCAACTGCTGCCAACATCACTATGCTACATGCAGGTGATCGTATACTTCCTTTTGATAGAGCTTATCGTAAACCCAGTGGCGTTTCCTTAACTTCAATCTTCCTGTGCACCAACTCTCAAAATATAAACAATTTTCAAATTATTGCTTGCAATGGATAAATATTGAGTAAACTAGAAGATTAAGTGTATTTTTTAACCGATTCGAGTATGAATGTGCCATTAAATCTGGTTTTGAAAGTTGGTGCACAGGTAAAAAGTGAGGCTACAGGACGCCACTGCGTAAACCCAATCCTTGCTGTTTACCCGTCTCTTCCGGTGCTTTACGATGATGCCGAGGATATGCACGATGCTAAGAAGCGCGCGCCATAGTTACGTTATAATCACGAATAAACTCTGTCACTATCATCGCATCATGCGATGATAGCATGAAAATACAGTAACAAAATGTGCAACCTGAAGCCTTTCAGTACTAGTTGGCTTTAGTTGCAATCTGTTATCTAATGACGACGGCTCTCGGTCCGTTACCCAATGAGGACGACTAACAGACTTAGAACCAAGCACCAGAGTGGTACTGTCCCGTCAACTGCGACGCAATGGCATCAAGTCCCACCCAAATCAGTCCGTAGTGCCGTGTTGCGCATTCGCTCCAGGAAGTCCTTTTACAGCTGATTAATTTAAATTTGAGAGCAAGTAAGGACTTTGTTTCGTGCACATTGAGGTGATAACCCTCCCTGAACCGGACAACACGGCGCGTATCATATTTTCCTGTTAACATTTTGCAGCACACGAGCAGAACGGAGAGGTGCCAAATTATTAAACGTGTTGCGGTGGTTTTCGCAGATCGCATTTCAAGCTCAATCAACCAATTGCCCTTTACGACACTCATCCACACTCAACGCGTACACAAGTTTGCGGCTGTGATATGACACCACTGGATTATTGCAGAAACAAGCCACGCTTACGGGCAAATCTTCCCAACCGGATCAGGAATTGTGGTTTTCCTGGGTAGGATATATTTTGTCTTCTGTACTCTTTGATCATACTACAGAAATAAGTTTACCGCACAAGATGTTCCAAACACTAGCGACACTGTTGCTGACATTTAATTAATTATTTAAAAAAGGGAAACGGTTAGACGGATAGCATTTACCTCCTTCTTCCGGCCTAATCGGATTCGCTTTCCGACTCCGACTGGAAGTCGCCGACGTTGATGTTGAACTTGTACTCCTGATCGCATCCCAGGTAGGAGTCGCTCATGAAGTACAGCGTATAATCGTGATGACCCGGGCTGGGCGCGACAAAGTCCAGCTTGAATTTGGCCTTCTGCTGCAGCGTGAGCCGCTTGATCGACAGCAGCGAGTTGGTTTTCGGATCGCCGATTACGATCCACCAGCCTTCCTCGCGTTTCTGGAAGGAAAAGAAGAATACACGTGTAAGTAGGTGTAATGAGGTGAAATCATTTTTGAAGTTTTCCTTAACTGCGAAACTTAAAGGTATTTCATCTCAATTTGAAGAGTGTCCCAGTTGGCATAATGCCGTTTGGCATTATAGGCATTTGGTATCTACATATATATACATACAGACATTCCATAGGAAAACGATATGTTGGTTCTCAGAATTTCGTTTTGTCATTAGGGTGACCATTTCCATGTTAGGGTGGTCCAAAATATCATTTTTAATAACTTTTTTTTTCAAAAATTCATTCACTGGGCCGATTTCAAAGATCAAAATATAAAATGAAAGGTAATTAAAAATACTTTTTGGGAAAATTATAGTGATATTAAAAAATTTAGATTTTGTATTGAAAAACATTAATTGTGTTTTTTTTTATGGATTTCATGGTTTGTAGATAGAGGCCGCAATATGTTTCTTTTATATTTTTCCTTGAAAATTTACGATTTTTTACAAATTATATCACAAAATATATATTTTATATTTTTTTGAAGTTATCAAGTTTTGGGTTTTCGCTCAATACTCCTATGCGAGTAGACTATTTTGTTTATTTTGTTTATTTGTTATGGTTGCATCAACAGACTAGAAATAGTCCCAATGATGTGTTGTAAAAAAAGTACAGATTATACAGACGACATACATATACTACAGTTACTACAGTTACAAACGAAAATAACTTGGAAAGCATTGTCAAGTTACTAAAAATTTATAAGTCTTAAATTTTACACTTAGCTGTTGGGTATCAAGCGCCTTCGGTCAGCAAAAAAGGCAGAGAATCTTCGGCGAAGCATATTCCGTGTCAAGTGGAAATCGAACATCGACGCTACTCGGTTGAACACTAGCTGCAAGCCGTAAATAGCGCTCCCTATGCTATAATTAGTTCGAAGAAGTGGAAGTCTCAGCATAAGACTGTTGCGTAGTGATCGAGGTTGAACATTAATGTTCACTTGTTGCAGAATTGCTTCGCAGTCGATTCTTCCTTGCAGAGTATCGGCGACGGTTAAGGCTCTGAAAACATCTCTTCGGATACGTAAGGGCTCGATATTGATCAATTGGCAGCGATTCTCGTAGCTTGGAAGACGAAGTGGGTATCTCCAAGGCAGCTTACGGAGCGCGAAGCGAAGAAAACGTCGTTGAACAGATTCAATTCGCTCGGCCCCATTATTGTAGTTCGGGCTCCAGACAGCAGAGCAGTATTCCAACGTAGATCGTACGAGAGAGCAATAGAACGATTTCAAGCAGTAAATGTCCGTGAAGTTCTTAGTAATCTTGAAGACAAAGCCAAGCGTTCTGGACGCTTTGTCGACGAAATACGATATATGGTGTGAGTATGTCAGCTTTGAGTCTAGAAAAACGCCTAAGTCTTTCACGCAGTGCACCCGTTCGATAGTCGTGCCTAGTAGTTTGTAGTTGAAAATAATCGGTTGTTACTTGCGTGAGAAAGTAATAACTGTACACTTAGCTGGGTTGACCACCAGTCGGTTTAGACTACACCAGTCAGCAAAGATGTCAATCTGATTTTGGAGAGAACGGCAGTCGGCGAGTGAGCGGATGCGCAGAAAAACTTTCAGATCGTCTGCAAACGATAATCGTGGCTCTGTGATAACATGGTGAACGTCGTCGAAGTAGAGGAGAAATACCAATGGTCCCAGATGGCTGCCCTGAGGTATACCGGACTTTGCGCAGAAGCTTGCTGAGCGACAAGTACCCAAAGTTACTGTCAATTGGCGCTCCGTGAGGTATGAACGAAACCATCTCAAAAGATTTCCACCGATCCCTAGCCTATCAAGCTTAGCGATCGCAATTTCGTGGTTCAGCTTATCGAAGGCTGCCGTAAGATCTGTGTAGATAACGTCCGTTTGGGTCCGAGCAATCAAACTGTCTGTGATGTAAGACGTTAGGCACAGCAGGTTCGTAGTTGTGGAACGCCCAGTTATGAATCCGTGTTGATCTGTACTTAGATATTGCCTGCAATGCGCATTTAGGGACTCTATGACAACCAATTCAAAAAGTTTTGATACAGCACTCAGCGACGTGATTACCCGGTAGTTGTTTACGTCGCGTTTGCTTCCCTTTTTATGAACAGGAAACATATCCGCAGTCTTCCAGCAAGACGGAAAGATGCCGCTGGAATATGCGGCGCAGTGGATCTAAAAGACAAGTGATGTTCTTTTTAAGAATAATCGACGGAACACCATCGGGTCCAGCCTTAGTTGAAGTCTAAAGTTTAGATGCTGCTCTAGAAATCGTATCTGTAGTGGCTTCGACCATGCTGAGCGTTTGGTTGATCAAAGGAACATTACTGGCCGCGGAAGTAATGATATTAGCGGAGAGTTGCTCGGCTTCAAACACACTAGCAAATTTGGCTGAGAACAGGTTGCAAATGTCTTGTTGATTTCCAGCAGTTTCACCATTAAAAATCATGGAAGAGGGTAAGCCGACTTCCCTGCGTTGCTCATTTACGAAGTTCCAGAAGGATTTCGGGTGTGATTTTAGCCGCCGTTGAATCCTCCTTTGATAGCGTTGAAAACAGAGGACTTAACCGCTTATACTCGTGGTTGAGTCTGACATAGTAGCATTTCAGTGGCAGTGTGCGGAGTTTAGTAAATCTTCTGAGAGCAGCCTTCTTAGTTCTTTTCAACGAGCGAAGATCTTTCGTCATCCACGGGACGCGAGAGTCGATATGGATGATCTTTTTGGAAACGTGTCTGTCAATGACATATGCCAAGACGTGAGAAAAGGTTTGTGCAGCAATGTTGACGTCTACAGGATCTAGAATATGCTCCCAATCTAGATTAGACAGCACATGGACGATACTGCAATGGTCAGCTCTACGGAAGTCATATGACACAGCGTTTGGAGTGCTGGTGAAATCATGGACAATATTATTTTCGATCACGATAACTAAAGCAGGGTGATGATGCACTACCTTGACTAAAGGTTCGGGTGCCGTGGAGAGGAAAGGAGCTGTATCACGAGCACTCACAAAGCAGAGATCCAGGGTGCGGTTGTTTTCATTCAACAGGCCATTGATTTGTGACAGAATTGCGGTACTATAACTGTCCAGGAGCTGGATGGTTCCTACGTGGAAAGATGAACGCTCGTGATCAGGACAAAAGAAACCACTATGGGTTGGAGTCGCGTCAATAAGCTCCAAGTCACGGGTTCGATCTGGAGGAATGTACACTGCACAGAGAAGCAATTGACGATCACCAAGTTGAATAGCCACCCAAATTTGTTCAACCCTGTTCCAGGAATCGTCCTCGATAACTTCTGCTTTCAGCTTGGAATTAACTGCCTTAAGGACGCCTCCCCCAGTAGTTTTCCTACTATTATTCGTGTTTCGATCGCAGCGAAATATTTCGTAGCCAGCACCAAAGACATAGTTTGAAATGGTTCGATAATTGAGCCATGTTTTGGTCAAAACTAAAATGTCGTAGCAGTGATCCATGACGGCCAGATGATAATCTTCCACGAGGCCGTTCATACCACCAACGTTCTGATACTACCATGCATTGTGACCATGTTACAGAGGTCACACACACAATCACTGTTTATGTGCAGTCTCACTAGCACTTGTGCTTCAAAGTTCCACATTTGATTGACAGAGACGCTGTTATTAGTGACGTTTGATATTTGTATGGGAGAAGGGGACAGTTGCCAGTTTTCTTTGGTTTGTAGTCTTCGGTCGGTGGAATCGTGAATGCTCGAAATTGTTTAAAATACAAATTCAAATTTGGGCTGGACGAAGTTTGCCGGGTCTGCTAGTTTGATATTATCTAACATTACTGCTTTTTAGCATGATCTGTTCATCAACAAATATAAAAGGAACTGCTCCTGTTGAAACGAAAGGAAAATACCTATTAACATTAATCCTTCCCAGAAGATTTTTTGTTGTTTTCAGATGCAAAAAAATATTTTTGGAAAAAGTGCTGCAACTAAAGTTAGTTGACTTATACATTTTATGTATAATCAGCAATAGAAATTTGCCAAAAGGTATAAGGAGATTTCTATCCGTGTAGCTCTCTAAAGGGCGAACACGAAATTATTGCGACACCGAAAATGTCATGCCAATTTTCTTATAATGTTTAGAATCAAATCAAAATTTTAGGGTAGTTTTATACATATATTTACTTCAAAAATCAAAAGAAAAGTTAATCGATGGAGCCTTGAGTGTAAAATTGAACGCATTTTCGCTTGATGCCCTCCATCAAAGTCTTTACAGTGTCATCCGGTACCAGTTTCGCAGTTTTTTTTTCCATTTTCTTAACATTTCCTTCTCGTCTTTGACTGTCTTCTTGCTCTTCCGAAGTTCCCGCTTCATTATTGCCCAGTACTGCTCCACCGAGCGCAGCTCCGGACAGTTTGGCGGATTCATGTCCTTTGGAACAAAATGGACAGAATTGGCCTCATACCACTCCAGGACACTTTTAGAATAGTGGCATGATGCCAAATCTGGCCAAAATAGCGGAGCTTGTAGTGCTGCTGCAAGAACGGCAAAAGGCGCTTCTCGAGGCACTCAGATTTGTAGATCTCGCCATTTACTGTGCCCTTTGTCACGAAAGGCTCACTCCTCAGTCCGCAAGAGCAGATGGCCTGCCAAATGAGATATTTGGAGGCGAACTTCGACATTTTCTTCTTCTTAAATTTGTCGTCCTCATCGAACTTGCTCTTGCCGGTGAAAAACTCCAACCCCGGAATTTGCTTAAAATCGGCTTTTATATACGTTTCGTCGTCCATCACACAGCAGCCATATTTTGTCAGCATCTTCTCGTAGAGCTTCCGTGCCCGAGTTTTAGCCGTCGATTGTTGCCGCTCATCGCGGTTTGGGAAGTTCTGTACCTTGTATGTATGTAGTCCAGCTCTCTTCTTTGCATTCTGGACGTAGCTCTGCGACATGCCGATCTTTTTAGCCAAATCACGGCTTGCGTTGGGATTTGCTTTAATCATCCGCT